CGCAACTTGCACTGTATGCTTCCGCCGAAGCCGAGAATGTTTCTGAGTGTTCTCGGAGGGTCTGCTGGGGTAATAATAGTTGTAAAGCGCATAGAGCATGCTCTTGAGCATGGATATGCGCTATATAAATACAATTATTATTAATTATTAATGTTCTTATGCCCTATTTCTACTCTTGTTCTCTCTATGTTTCTATCTACTAGACTGTTAAATTGCATCACTCCTCCTCCCCCTCCCCCACCCCCGGCCCACTTTTCCAGCCCGACGGAAACCATTTTACAACCTTTCCCAGAACACTAATGGAGTCGGTGCGTAAACACAATGTAATACTTTCAAAGAATTAAAAAAGCGTCTACGTTGTGTTTACAACAGAAGAATCCCTAAAACACACGAGGCTGCTTCATTTTATCTTCCTGGCTCTTGGTTGCCTGTGTGAAATGAATCCTTTCAAAATGGCGGCATCTGTACCTTCACCTTAGAATAACCAATGCCTCGAGTGTACCCACACCGCTCTGTGTAGTGATTAAATGTACAGAGCTTCGGGGTTTTACGATAACAAACATTCGTGCCATCTTGGGGTGGGTCTGAATCGAAAAAAAGAGTATTTTGTGGTGATCTTAGTTAATGTAGTTCTTGGTATTTTTTCATATTGCTTCATGGGTGTTTCACTCTATTGTTACCAGTTAGGGAAGAGGTTTTTTTCTGAAAAATTATTCTGATATTAATAGTATCCTTCTAAGTTCAGATTCGTTTTCTTTTCATGAGTTCTTGTTTAAATGTAAAACTGATCTCGTGCTTTTTGGAATTCGAGGATAAACGACAATGGTGGATTAATTGTTTAATTATTCCTCTACTTCTTCAATCGACCTACAATCTATTTATCTGGACACACATACACCCCTCCTTTCTCCAAAAAAAAAAATAGCGCAAAGGAACAAGACTCGAGAACTGCGTTCATTGTCAATAACAATGAAGTCAATGCGCTAGGATTCGTCAAATAACTGATATGCGATTGTGTAGGCCTAGCAATGACGCTTACGTAGTATAGCACAATGGAGCAGTTACCTACTAGAATCTACTACAGAATTCGATGTCTTCTCAAGAGCTAACGAAAATGTTCTGTTTCGTTTTTCAAAAAGCAGAATCTACTTGGAAAAAATCGTAGGCTCTATAAGATGTGTAATTCCCTAAAAACTGTCCTATGCGAGACTTTGTAAAGGTGGCCAGGCTTACTAACGGCATTATCCAGGACGGTTTTCTTTTAATTATTTTTCTTCTTCTTCTTTTCTTATGAGTATGTTTCTGTTAGTAATCCTGTGTATATGTTTACATGCTTGTGTCTGTTTCTAAAAGATGATTTTAAACTATACGACACCGATCCCAAGTAAGCTAAAATAGACAAAGAGTCTGAGAGTGGAATAAAACATATTGAACGATTGTCTCCACCTTTTGATAACATTAGAATCCTCCACTTTTACACGTCGTATTCTTTTCACTTGTCACCCTCAGATCCGAGTTGAACCTTGGAGTGGAACGGTCTGGCTTCACACTGGTTCGTTTCTGCAAAGAAAACCCAGACTTGGAGTTGTTTATGAAGGTGATCGTCAATGTTCAAGTTGTCATCGTCACTCTCACTAGAGTTGTTAGTGTTTTTTTGTTTTTAGCACAGTCAAATTCTCGTTCTGCCGTCCAGAGTTGTACATTATTTTTCTAGTGTGGACCTCGTTGCTTTCCCCCGCAGTTGAGTGGTAGGATCCCCCTAGCTTCGATAATAAGCCTTTTGCATTCTGGATAATATGACTGTTCCGAACGGAAGTCATTACGGAGCTCTCAACAAGCATAATATCTGCTGTTTTAGCTCAGGTTGCAGTTAGTTTCAAATTTACCTAGAGCCTTTGTGTCAGGCGCGTTTAGCTGGTGTGATCAACCACATTTTCCATATTCTAGACGTGCTCATAATATTTATTTACTTTTTAAAAATTCATCAGTTGTTTTATTTATTCATTTATGTATTTATTTATTTATTTATTTATTTATTTATTTATTTATTTATTTATTTTTACAGTATTCTTTACATATTATGGTCTTGTTTGTTCATTTATTGTATTTCTCCATTCATCTTTTATCTTTATATCTTATCAATTCTTTTACTTTGATGTTTAAAAAAAAAATTTTTGTTTACTTATAATTTTTGTTCAATTTTTTTTTTCCAAATTATTATCATTAACAGCTATGTATTCGTCAATATTCGTCATCTATTTATTATTAGAGTATCGCCTTGTTTACCGGGCGCTGAGGCATCGTTTGCTTCTTTTATTTACTGTTAACTTGTTCATCTATTGGTTGTTTTACTTCCTTTCTTTATTCATCTCTTCGTTGTCGCAAGTTGTTTTATCTGGCTCTCGTTAAAAAAAGACAAATCATATTCAACATTTCAATGTCATTTAAAAGAATTATCCACGGTGATCACCATTGTGTTTCGTATTATACATGTGTCTTTGGTTCAAAACTTGCTCATTTTACTTACTACATGTATTTTTCAGTCCTTAAAGTAGTGAGAAGATGTTTGAACTACTATTCGACTTAACCACCCCCGTGTGTTCCCAGAATACCTTCCTTTCATTATATTATATAAATTAGGTTAAACATGAAGAAAGGCCAGCAGATGACCGATAACTTTAAATCAAACTTATTATCTTTAGTGAGTATTCATGATCATATTTAATCGGCACTTTTTTAGACTAAGAGAAGGTATATCAACTAAATACACAGTGACGTGCTCGTATGCTGGAAAGGGTGTATATTTAGTGCAGTGATATAAAAATGAGGATGGCGATTGCACTTGGCCAAAACTATACGTGCACCTAACCCTACGCTGCCTATTTCGAGACTGTCTTAGATGTGCAGGAACTGGGTAGCAGGCCTGGCAGAGTATAGTTATCTTGATATTCAAGCCAAGTATATATCAATCTCAGAAAAAAATACATTGACATAGGGACATAATTTGATATATTGATGTGTCTTCAACTTGCGTCACCTAATTTTGCCTATTCCCAATGTCCTTTCAAAAACAGCTGTTAGAAAAGATTGATGTTGTTAGTTAATCAGAATGTTTTGAAATATGTTCTGCTTCGATCATTTTTGTGTGTGTGATGTCTACTGTAGACTACTTAATGTTGCCATATTCTTTCTTCTCTCAGCTTCTTCACGTTTTCATTTTCTGATAGATTTTCTCCTATATTCTAGACTTAGACTAGGTGTGTATTTGTCATTGTTCTAGAATACGACCTTATATCCCACGACATAATATTTACTCCGGCACTGAAACCTGGTCATCTATCATGAATCAAGTTTTTGGGTTTGTTTTCTGTTTATTTCAGAGAGGAATATCCGTTATTCCAAAATTCATCAAGGTACTCTTCCAAGGAATGTTTGGTAGTTCATGTTCATATCATATATACCCACGTGCATTGCAACAAAGATCTGGATTGCCTGTATCTAACCCCTCTAATGGACGTATTGTTGATATGAAAACCTCCCCAATGTTCAGCGTACATATACTCTTCTGGACTGCCCTGTCGATTATTATTCTTGTATTAGACTTGATGTGTCTATCCCTTTTTTTTTACAACAAAATTAGTTGCAGGATGGAACGCTGATCTTTTCTAGTCACAAAACTAGTACCTGGCCCTGCGATTTGAGCACAGCTAATGTCATTTTAGAGCGGTGGTTCTTAGCCTATAGGTCCTTTTGGTTGAAGGCGAGAACGAGAAATCTAACCTACAAAGACGTCCAGTTCTTGTCTTTATCCAGTCTAAATCCCGGAGAGATACTATCTTTCGGGACGAAACTAATACATGTTAACATTTTTTTTAAAGGAAACATAATATCTATAGAATCATCGGACTTTCACCAATATAAATGTTCTCGAGAGCCACCTGTCAGACACCGTCAATTTGGCCATCAAGCTCAGAATATCTATAATAGTATTCTATCGCCACAAGTTTCTGCTGCTTTTTCTCCCCATAACCTCCACGCCGTTTTTGTTTCTTCTTTCCATGACAGTGTTGCTACAACATGAACATTTTTCAAATCAACATGCTAGCGCTTGACATATTATATAATGCCACATTTAGAATTTCTACATCTGCTGTCTTTTCGCAAAGCTATGAGTTCCCATCTTTCATGAGTAGCATTTTTCTTTTGTTTAAAAAAAAAAAGATATTTTCCTTTAAGCAAGACTGACACTTCTTAATCGAGGTTTTACTAAAGTTTCTTTTTATAGTTCGAGTAGTATGATACAAACATAATTAAATACTACTCCAGTTACCGATGGCGGAATCTATTTTTATTAACAAAAAGTCTTTCATTTTCTTTCTGCGTTCGTCATAAAAATTTCTTTGTTTTGTTTTGTTCTTGGGGTAGTTCAAGTTCTAATTTGCTTCAGTTACTAACCATGTTGACTTCCCGTAAACCTTGTATTCATTATTTTGCTCTATCATACGGCGACAGCTGTTGTTAGTTCATAAATATATTTTTCCCATGTACTTCCACTCCTCTTCTTTTAATGACACCCCCCAATGATTATCGAAACCATCCAGGGTTTTTCTTCGTGTGCGGTGCATTTTTGTTTATGTTTGAATTTTCCCTAGGACACTCTGGAGTTGTCAAACTGTCCTTTTGTTGAACCAACTGTTAAAATTGCATCATTCCTTTCATAAATTGTCATCTCAGACCAAGGTCATACATGTTAGTTGTCCAGACTTACAAATTGATAGATTTTGTTTGATTTAATTACCTGTTTAAAGACTTATTCTTTGGTGTGTGTGGTGTCGCTGTTTTAATGTTGATTTACAGACTGTGGTTTTTCCAGTTTCGCATTTTTGTGGCACTGTTTGTTTTGAGAGTCTTTACAACAGAATGTCAAAAGTAGAAAAAGTAGACTTTTCTTGTCTTTTGACTGTGAGACTTTTGTTGCAAAACGTGTCCTTTCCTGTCATGAAATAACTGTCTTTACAAATACACATCTTGTTGTTGACGTTACTATAAAAAAAACCACTGCTGACATGACTTCCTTTTTCTGTTCGCGCCACTTCGATATTTTGTCGTATCTGTCAACTGCAAAAATGAGGAATAGAAAGAAAAGGGAATGGAAGAAGTTGAGGAGGAGGAGAAGGAGACTGAGGAAGATGAGGAGGAAGAGGAGGAGGAGGAGGAGGAGGAGGAGAAGAAGGAGGAGGAGTAAACTTTGTTCAAATCCATTCTGCTTTATTTTTAGTGATGGTGTGACCTGAGGTACCGTTAATGTTGTGCCTGATTCAATATTAGTTAAAAACTGTCTTCAGTGGCTCCCTTGTTCCTGTTGTTATTATCAAAACCTGAATGTAGAGAGCGATATTGTTATTGTCTCTATTGTCGAGTGACGTCATGGCGTCACTGTAACCAGATCTATTATTATAAGTGTCTTAACTGTTGTCAATGCATCGCCTTGTTCAAGGAATGTGGGTCTTGCATTACTGTTCTGGGATCGTTGGTGTCTCTCCTTTTGTTTCGTAGATTGTGATGATTTAGTTGTTATGTTGTAGATTCTTGACCTAAGAATTTGTTTTCACTGAGAGATGAAAAGGGAGATAATGTTTTCATGGAGATGGATTTGTTGGAGTCCCGTTTTCTTTGTTTTGGGGTGGTTGTTTTTTATTTCTTATTTTGGGAATTTCTAGTTTTCCTTGGTTGTTGCTCAGATATCAGTTCTCCGTAGGATATTCAACAATATTCTTTATTGTTGCTGGCTGGAGCGCCGCCTGTTAGACGTCCGCTCATCCTATCTCCAGAACACTTTTTTTTTAAATAATAAGTCGTTGGGTTTTTTTTTAGGTGAACTGAGCTATTATCATTGTTTATGAAATCAAAATCACCTCGATTTAGTACACAGTCCAAAATCATCGCTCATGCTTTAAGTCTGCCCCGGAAAGCAGATGGTATGCCAGGATGTTTAAATTTAAAAAACGCGGGTTTGTTTTTACTCCTTTCATGTCTTTAGGACAATTTGTGTTCTCGTCTTTCAGTACTAATGGCGACATCAGCTGTAGCATTGACTGCTTTGACATCCGATCGCTTTAACCATTTCATCCTCTTCAGATCTCATCTCCATTACTATCATCTGTCTTAATTTCTGCCTGCTTAAAAATTATAACCGCAGTGTCTGCTTTGCGAGTCACACATGGCTGTGCATGTAAACGCATTGATTTAGGTAGTGAATGGAAACCAATATGCCTCTTGATATGTGTATAATGTAAGCTTAAATGAATGGACTTGTAATCGTCATACACACTCTTTTGCCAAGCAAATATAAAAGCACTTAGCCAAAACCTTGTGTTTATAGAATATTTCAAAGACATATTATTATTTGACACTGAATGACACGCCAAATAATAATGTTACCTTCAATATGTCTGGTAGCAAAACCTTTCCTTTCCATCAATTCTATCCCCTTTATTTTCAAATGACGCTTTTATATCATCTGAAATCATATTAGAAGGGGGCGGGGGAAGTACGAGCGTAAAACAACATATTCCTGATTTAATTTTATTGGGGGGTTTTCCTGCTGAGATAAGCAGAGTCACTGTCACGTAGCAGTTAATTAACGTTGCAATGGTCACACACATTACTAAACGGCGTTCTTTTTTTAAAGTTTTATCTTCGTCGTTGCTTTTCTTTACAAAAGATGGTGTTTCTCTACAAACTCTCAATTCTATCAGGGACACTGCAATTAGAACACTTAATTAACAAATTAATTAACCTGTGACCACTGAATATCATTGATAGCAATCAACGAGAAATCAGAAAATACTTCGCAATTGGCCCAAAAAATGGTTTCCTAATCTTTGGGAGAAAAACCTAAAAATTACACTTGCTAAGTTTTCAATCACTGGGACATACCTTTTTTAAATAATGTCCCTCCTGCTCTGAGAGGGGAAATTAAAAGGAAAAAAAAGAAAGAAAAAAACCCTTTTCAGTATACGCCCGTACTTATTAACACGCTTTCTATATTAGTTTGACTGCGCTAACTCTTTCATCTCTTATTTATCTTTTTTCCTTATCTTTTATGTCACATAGCTCATTTCTCCCACGATTTCACAATGTCTCTTTCTCTGTCACTTTCTGTGTCTCTCTTCCCCCCCCCCTCTCTCTC